CCGCGGACGCCTCCCCTCGGGTCGGGGAGCCGCTGGTTGCTGCGGGTGTCGCTCCCAGCTGCCCTCCTTCCTCCTGGTCCCCCCATAACGGCCCTGGGCGGGGGTCAAATTGAGGTCTCCAACTCCTGTTCAGCTGCTAGAGAAAACGCGGCTCCTGCCTCCACCTCCGTCTGCTTCTGCGTCTCATCCTGTGCAGGGCCAGGCGCCTCCCCTCTGCGGCCGCGGCCTGGGGACCGCAAAGTGCGCGCTTCCTTGCTCCGCGTCCCCACGGCACGGAGCGTCCTCAGTGCTCGCTCGTCGCGCCCAGCAGGCGGGAGGCGAGGGGATGGTGTCTTCCGTCCCGCCCCCGGGCGCCGTCCTCCTGAGTTGTCTGCGGGTGGGCGCCAGGAGCGAGGCGCTTAGCACGCTTAGTTCGTTCCCGGTGATTAGTGGACACCTCCCCGCTGGCAAGAACAAACCCTTGGGGTACTTTCAGTTAACTTTTGGGGGAAAAGTTTTTACTTCTCAAAATGCCACTTCTTAATGATGCTCCTTGACTTGTAAGAGAGCATTTCTCATGGGCCATAAAGAATGAACGGTCTTTGTGGTGTTCAGACCATGTCCCTCTAGTTTATCATGGTGGCATCTGCAGAAAAGCAAGCAAAAAAACCCAAAAAGCCCTGCACGGAATAAAATGTACATCCAAGAAGCCTTCCCCACTCAGGGGAGGAGTCTGGAAGCCCAAGGAGGTATTGCAGTGAATTTTGGCACAGAGTTAGAGCAATGAGTTCCACGTGTGAGGGGCTGGCAGGGACTGCAGCTGTCTCTCCCTCCTCTGGCAGACGCTGCTTTCGTTTGGGGTGGCATTGTGCCCCACTCGGAAAGACCACATTTGGTGGCCTCCTTTGCAGTTGGGAGACGGTCACACAATGCTGTCCTGAAAAACCGGAGTGGAAGTCTGCTAGGAATGTGTGAAGGCTTCACCCTTTTCTCCTGCTGGGTCTTTCCCTTTCCAGCACCTGGCTGGCTGCGCCTCGGCCACACCTGTGGCTGGGAGCTGAGGCTGAGAGAACTGTAGAACTCAGCCCCACACATATGAACTGGTGAACAAAGGTCCACTGATGTGGGGAGAGCAGGAAACCCCTGCTTTATTTAAATAAGTGTGGCCAAATTTTCTATAGTGCCAGTTTATGTTGCATTTTATGGATATAAATATAATTATACCTTTTTTGTGGACACGTAAGACACATCAGCTGCCACATAGCCGCCTTTGCAGGAAGGTCAGTCTTCATAGGGAGGCCTCCCCTCCTGTTCTCTTCACCCCTCACAGCTGCCCTGAGGCCTCCACCTTGTCCAAAGTCAGTGGACAGAACCGGGAAACCTGATCACACAGGGCAGAGGTAATTGCTCACCACATGCCTTTGCCGGAAGCTTTTCCAGGGCATGCTGAAGCTTTATGGCCTGACTTTCCTTTAGTTTTTCTTTCTTTCTTTTTTAAGTTTATCAAAAAATGTCGCAAATGCGGCTTCATTCTTGAAGGTTGTCTTTCCTGGGTATACGAGTCTAGATTTTGCCTTGTTTTGAAAATGCCATTCTGTTGTTTTTGGTTTCTGCTATCCTATAAGTGGTCAGCTGTCAGTTTACTTATTGCTTCTGTAAGTGAACTTACCTGTTTTCCCTAGACTGTTAAAAGATATTCTCTTTGCTTTTCAGTAGTTTTAATATAATACAACGAGAGATGGGGTTTTGTTTGTCTATGCAATTTGGGCCTTTAGAGTCCTCTGGATTTTGTGACTGGATATTTTTCATCAGTTTTAGAAAAATTTCCATTGTTATCTCTTCTGATAAAGTTTCTACCCAAATTCTGTCTTTTTACTTAATGAGGCTCTAGTTACTTACATGTTAGACCTTCTCATTTTATCTTCTATGTATCTGACCCTTTCTTTGTATTTTATTTCGGCATCTTCTTCTGATCTCCTTTCTACTTTAGCATTTCTGTCTGCAACTACATCTAATCTGTAGTTTATCCTATATTATGAGATCTTATTTGTGATCACTGCATTTTTTATTTCTAGAACTTCAAAAAGTAGCTTCTGGTTCTTGACAGAATTTAAAATTTTATCTTTTATCACTTTGTCCTTGTTAAGGATAGCTATTGAACAACTCTGCACCTTAAATCCAAAGGGTCTACTTCTGTTTTGTTGGTTTCTATTTTTTTCTAGTTATTTTAACACCAGACATTGTATATGAAATATGATGATAGAATAATTTGAGACCTACAATGATTTATCTTCATACAAAGAAGTGAGTCAATATAACCTTAGCATATTCTGGATGGTTAGAATCCCCAGGGAGTTTTAATTAGTTTTTAAAGATTTTAAAGATTTTATTTATTTATTTATTACAATACTGGGGACTGAACTCAGGACCTTGCATTTGTCAGGCAGGGGCAACACCACTGAGCTAAATCCCTGGCCCTCCAGGGAGTTAGAAAGGCTAGTGTTTAAAATCTAAGGATTCTGATTTGGTATGGAGTTGAGGTCTGGACATTAGTGTCTATGACTGCTTCCAAAGTGATTAACATTTGTATCACCCTAACATCAAATATAAGAAAGATAGTATGAAAAGAGAAATTAACAGCTCAGTCCCTTAGTTTCACTTATGAATAGAGCTGCAAAAATAATGTTGGCAATGGAGTGCATTGTTACAAAAAAAAGAACAAACTCTGACTGAATAGACTATTCTAGAAATGATAGAGTCGCCTGCTAGATATGTGCTGGAACTGGGAGACTGGTGGCTGATCTCAGGGAGGAAATTCTAAATTTCCTGTGGCTGCAGCCCCCAGATCTCCTAAGAGCATATCAAATTCCTTTCAGCTTCACCCACCTGCTTGGTTTCACAACTCTGAGGCCCACACAGTCACTCCTATGGGGGCTCACGTCCCCCATTGGCCCCTGTTGACCTTGCTTGACTCATTGGCCTTATTCACACCTCGTTTGCATTGTGGTTTTGACCCCCTCTCCATGGGCTTTGGCTACCAGGTTTGTTCTGAGTAGGACAATACATTCAAAGACTTCTCCCAGTGTGAGGGTTGAGTCTCACAGGTGACTGGAAGAAGCCACAGTAGTCAGGGACTCCAACCACTGTCCAAATTCTAGGACACACACACACACACACACACACACACACACACACGTGCGCACACCCTACTGCCTGGGGAAACTGCCACCTCTGGCTCTGCCTTCTTGGATCTCTCCCAAGAGATCCTGTTGAGGACGATCCAGAAACTGAGACCTCACAACACAAGGCAGAGACTACACGTCTCGAGCCCAGGCTGATCCCAGATTCTGGGATTAGAAACACACACATGGGTGGTTTCCTCGCAGAAGCTTATGAGCATCATTACTCCACGACATTTCCTATGGAGAAAACCCATAGGAACACAGCAACAGATGCTGAAATTTTAACAACTAAAAACAAAATTGTAATAGGAATGCAAAAAATCTCTGAGATGTGCTGAAGTCTACTGGGGGGGTTCATGCTTCCCTGGCTCTGTCTGTGCTTCCTCCTGGGGTCCAGCTGCTGTGTGTCCTGTCCCCTCTGGCCCTTGGGTAGAGTCCTGCATGAGCCTGGGTGAGGGGCGGGATGTGAAGTGAGCACCGTGTTGTGCCAAGGTGTGAGGAGGGTGAGACTTTAGGTGCTCATCGCCGCGATGATGTGGCTGTTGTGCTGGTAGAGCCACGGTTTGGACAGCATCCTTCCTGTCCCTTCTGGGGAATGGCCAACCTGGAGGTTCCTCACAGCTGGCCTTGTGGGAGTGAGGAGCAAGTGTGATCAGCCACTGCGATTTGTGAGCCGTTGGCCCCACAGGGTGGCCTCCCTGGACCAGAGGTTGTTGGAAAATGTTTTCTACAAAGGACTGGATAGTTGAGAATGCAGCTCGTGTGGTCTCTGTCAGTGACTGAGCTCTTCCATTGTAACAAGAAGTGGCCATTGATGTAAATGCATGAGTATACCTGTAGCCCAATAAAACTTTATTAACAAAAGGGTAGATGAGATGGTGAATGTATTCATGAATCATGGCTTGCTCTTGATTAACACTTTTAGGTACTCATAGCTTATTACAAATACCATTCTGAGAAAATTCTAACATTCCAGTTAAAAATAGGAACAAGTAGGGTTGATCACTATTATTACTTTTAAACACCATTTTAGAGGGTCTAGTTAATGCAAGCAGTTGAAGTAATTGATGTAAATAGAGGAAATTAGATTTTTTTTCTGAAAACCATTATATATCCAGAAAACCCAAGAAACACTAGTAAAAATGGATAGAATTTACAGGACAATTTGTTAAGATGAAGGAATTAGATGGGTATATGTACAAAAATCAATAGCTCTGTATGTTGTATACAAAGTCTTCTACGCGTACCAAGGAGAATCCTACATAATCAAACAACAAATGTCACAATAGGAGCAAACATTAAACTGGTCTGGAGTAAACTTAGCAGGAAGCCTCTGACAGCTCTACAGAGAGGAGTCTGAGATTTGTTAGACGTGGTCTCCCTCTGGAAAGGTTTAGCGTCACCGCAGTGTCGGGGGGCCTGCGAGTTTTTGATGTCCCGAGTTAATTCAGGGCTCTTGTTTAAAGCTGGGGGCTCCAGTTTCCTCCTTGGGAAGAGCAGGGCAGGGCCCCCGCACAGGGCTACTTGGGGGTAAACTTGGGCATGGGGCCTGGGCCTCAGCACGCATCCCCTGGGTGCAGGCTCACCTTCCCCACAGGCAGAAGGTAACCAATCAGTCGTGTGCGGTACTTTTGGTGCACCTGGGTTTTGCCCGTGAGGCATCAATCTTAGGTTGGGGATTTCTGACTGTCCGATTGGGGCTGCCCCACCTGTGCTGTCCTCAGAGGCCATCGGAGGTGAAGCCCGCGCCCTGACCCAGCCAGGCGGGACAGGGCACAGGCAAGGCCAGCCCTTCCTCGGACCCAGGAGCCGCTGACTCTCGGGACAGCACCCACCTCCCGGCCTGTTGTCTGACCCCTTGGCGGGAGCGCGGCCCCTTCCTGACCCGAGGGAGCTCGTGGGTGGCTCCTCTCTCCAAAGGGCCACACTTTTATCAGTGCGGCTGCAGCTCCTGTTCTCGGCATCCGCAGTGTCCCAGGACTGAAAAGGAACCACTCTCGCCACCGGCCCACTGTCCTCCCGTTCCCGCCGAGTCTCATCACCCACCCGCTGCTTCTGCACTGTCCGCTGGACCGGGTTCTGATGTAAACGTTGAGAGCAGAGCCACACATCCCAGCAGGGCACCCCACCCTGGTCCTCCGAAAGGCGCCTTGGAGCCGGCAGTCAAGAGAGCGAACGGACGCGGCCGCAGCCTGGCCGGGTGCAGTGGCGCACACTGGCGACCCCAGCCCTCGGGAGGCCAGGCCAGCCTGGGTCACGTGGCGGGGCAGTGGGGCATCCAAGGCGAGTGAGGTCCAAGCACATTTCCTTGGCATCACGCGCCTGTTGAGTCCAGCCCCCTCACAGCCCGGGGTTGGACCAGCAAAGATGCTTCATCCGGAGGACCCCGGCCCCTCCTTTGCTCCCTCTCCACACAGCCGGCAAGGCCAGCGCTGTGTCCCGGCGTCCGGTCACCTGGCGGCGCCTGCAGGCCCTGGCACACGATTGACGGCCGTTCCTCCGGGGGTGCTGGAAGCGGCTACATCTGCTTCCCTTCACTGAGACGTTTATGTTCTTCCAGACAAGAAAGGAAAGGATGAGGTTTATTAGGGCAGTATAGTAGTAATTATGATGTCCACATAAATTTTGTTGGGTTTAGTGCTCTTAAATACTGAGACATTCACCACTGTCTTCCCCCGCTCCTTTCCTAGATGCAAAGCAACAATGACAAAAGAAAGTCATGTGCCACGGAGGGAGACCCCACGGAGGGAGACCCCACGGAGGGACACCCCACGGAGGGAGACCCCACGGGCCCTGCTGGCCACTGCAAGCCTGCCCCGGCTTCCCAAGAGGGCAGTGACGCTCCCAACCTGTACCGGGGGACCTGCCAACCACACGACGCTGGGGTCCCAGGGCACCAAACTCGTGGCTGGCTAAATCAGGCGCAGAGAGGAATTTGGGGCCCACGTGTTAGGTTTTGAAGAAAATCATAATCTGTCTTAGAGGAGCAGGCACAGGACGTGGGAGTAGAAGGACCAGATTTCATGCTGAACTCCCTGAAGTTTTAGTCCCAGGAATGACCTAGAGAGGCAAATGTAAAAGACAATTCCAGCTGCGGCCTGGACTGAGAAGCGGCGACCTGTGGGGCAGTCACAAACATGTCCAGAGACGGGCGTGCGGGGGAGAGGGAGACACGGACAGACGGGGGACGCCGTGGGGGCAGAACCTGCAGGGCCTGGCGATGACGTGGGCGGCCATTGTGTGTCGGGGTGGTGCCAAAGATGGGGCTCTGGGCGGGGTCCCTGGGCAGGGGTGGCGCCGTCGATCTGAGACGGGAAGTGGAACGGGAAGAGTGGTTTCGGACAAGCCCAGCCTGCGGTGCAGACGGCCCTCACTCACACCCGGCTGCATGGAATGTTGGAGTCCAGAGCAGGTCTGGCGCCCAAGGCCTGGCAGGCCGTTCCTGGGCGAGGGGCTGTCCCTGCCCGCCAGGGGTGTCTGCTGGCCCTGCTGGCCCCTCGCCCGTGCTCTGGCCGTGCTGTCCTCTGTCACTGCCCATCCTCAGCGCTCTCCAGACGGGGCCTGTGCTGCCCACACCTCCTCCTCTCACAGAACAAACGGCTGCAGCCCGCACTCAACGAGGTGGGGCAGGTGCCACGTGGGGCGTCCACGCTGCACCCTCAGTGCTGATGTCAGGAGCAAGCGCCCACCTGGGGAGCCGGGAGCTTCCTGTGCCCTGGGACGTCGTGCTTCTGGGTGACTGCCAGTGAGAAGTTCAGCACCGGGGAGCCCTTGTCCCTGCACCTCTAGGGCTGCGAGCCCAGCAAACCTCTTTCCAAAGCTCCCGCTTCAGGAATTTCTTTGTGGAAAGGGAAAGTTCACTGGAAGAAGCATTGTGGTGAGAGTGGCTCTGACAGGGAGGTAGGGAGGTGGGCGCGATGTTCCTCTTTCTAACGGGGACCCCAGGGCGGAGGGGGCGCCGGGCCAGGCTAGGACACCTGGGGCATAGCTGGGGTTGTGGGGTCCCTCCTGGGCATCTGCAGGGCTGGCCTCAGGCAGGGGATTCCAAGGGCCAATTCCTCTTAGGGTCACTTGTGTTTCTTCTTTTGATTGCAGGAGCATGGGTTCCTTGTTCCACTCCCGTTCCTGAAGTTGAGCTTATAATTTTTTTGTGTTTTTTGAGACAGTCTCCCTCTGTGGCTGAGGCTGACCTTGAACTTGCAGCAATCCTCCTCCTGCCTCAGCCTCTGGGGTGCTGGGTTACAGGTGTGAGCCACACTCAGCTCGTCCCTCATTCAGGAAATCACAACCCCATCAGATCCAGAGGGAAGACTGAAATTCTCCACAGGAGCAAGGACCTCTCTCCGAGAAGTCCCCCAGCCGGTTCCCTGCCATGTTCCCATGGCGGGGTACACACACCCACCCGGAAGGAAGCCCATCCCTGGCAAGAGGAGCAGGATGGTCACAATCGGCCAGGACTGGTCTGGACCGGGCCCTCTCTTGGAATGGACCTGGCGAGGCCCAGGTGGGAGGATCACTGTCCAGGAGGCGATCACTGACCCTTGGAGAACTGGCCCCACCTTGGAGCCAGGTGGCCGCTCCATCCGGGTGCCCACTCCCTCCTCTGGGTACAGGGCTGGGCTTGGGTTCCAGCCAAGGCCAGTGCAACCACAGCACATTCCTCTGTTAAACTAAGAGCTTGCTGGAGGGCAGGGTGCACCTTGCCCCTATTTGACACCCAGCACGGCCAGCTCCTAAGTGTTTGTTGAACAGGGCTTACACTTATTCAAGCCCAACCCCCTCCTTTCGCTCCTCGGAGACTGACCTTGAGGAAGGCCAGTGTGGCAACACCAGGTCGCTCCCGAAGGGACTCAGGGAGGAACCTGTTAGCATTAACTCACACAGGGCATAAACGGGCTCTTTCCCAGATTCTTCTGTCTGCAGGCCTTATTTTCTCGCTGTATTTTCATTTCTCTTTTCTGTGTGGCTCCCTGAGCCCTGGCTGTCTGGCTTGGTATGCTGACAGCTTCTTGCCAGGGTGATTTTGGGGGTCAGATGCCCATACCCTGCCGGCTTTTCCCATCTCCCGGAATCAGTGGTCAGAATCTCGGAGTGGGCCACGGGCCAGAGGCACCTTTGCTCTACACGGGGCCCTCAGAAAGCTGTGTCCCTGGGCTCTTTATCTTAGCTCTGCCCAGGCAGCACTCCGCAAATTGGGATTTATGTCAGGTCTTACGCTTTTAGAGAGAGCAGCAGAGTGGACATGTACATTTGAGGGACAAGTTGGAAAGCTGGGTGGAGGACGTTGTCACGTAGCCCAAGGTCTCTTCCGTGAAGACCCACGTGCAGGAAAAGGGTTGTTGCTCTAAACTGACTTCCTGTTGGGCTTCTGATGACAGATACATCCCAGCTGTCACCGGGAAGAAGGACAGAATTTTGTCCCCAGTGGTAGCCCCTGCCAGGCCCTGAGGATCACCCACCGTCCATTTATTTGCTCCTTTGAACTGTTTTTTTTTCCATTTTCATTATTTTCTGTTTTGTCTTGTGGTCACCTTTCTAAGTTGCCTCAGTGTTTCTGGACGTGTGTGTTCCTGTTTATCTGCCATCCATCCGTCTGTGTTCACAGCGCATAATCTCCATCGGCCCAGATTTCTTTAAAGTAATTGTCCATGCATGCTAGCAAGTCCTACAAACAACACGGAAGATTTAGAAATGGGTTTGAACTAGAACTTGACCACGAGGCCAGGAGCCTGGGTCCAATTCTACCTTTGTTGAATCCTTGGCCAGGGCCGCTCCAGGCCACCCTCAGGACAGGCCGTGCAGCTGGCACCACTGAGAAAAGAGCTGCGGCCATCACTGGCCCCCCCGACCAGGGAGCAGACTTTCTCTGGGTTTGCTATAAAAGCAGGGGATTCCCTGACTCAGTGCTCTGCAGTGGCAGAGCAAACCCACTTCCCATGTGGTATAATCGGAGCCCGCTGGGTGGCTTCTGTGGAGGCCAAGGGTTGCGGACGCCATGGCAACCCTGCCTGCTGTGTGGTGAGTCCCGCAGCCCTTGGTTTCTGGTTAGGAGCCTCAGTCCTCCGCCAGTCTCTAGGAAACAGGCCAGCTTGGGAGTGGGCAGTCGAGTAAACTAAAACCTTCAGCCCTCACCACAGCACAAGCTTACACAACCTGACCCCAGAGGAAGACATGATGGTCACAAAGGTCTTTGGGGTGTAACCGGAGCTTCCTTTTTCACTTTCTAGGCTGGGTCGAGGGGTTCATTGCTGAGCAGAGATCCCCAAACGCCAGCCTAGACCGGAAGGGAAGGAGCAGGGGAAGAGAAAGCCAGCAGGGGAGGAGGACAGCGTGCAGACATTTCATGTCCCTTCCCAGCTGCATGTGCCCATCTGTCAGGACAAGACGGGTGTCTGTGCAGGCACCTGTGGAACGGGTAAGACAAAGAAGGGGCCAGTGGGGCGTGGGAGGGGACCCAGAGAAGGGGCCAGGTGGGGCTTGGCCTAGGGTGGAGGAGGGGAACGTGTAGGGCAGCTCCTGGTTCCGCCCGAGGACTCTGGGGCTGCGTCCACCCGCTGAGCAGCTCTGGCACAACCCTGAGGAAGTCCTGAGGGAGCAGACGGTCTCCTCACGCACACGGCACACAAAACCCTCGGCCAGCTCTGGCCAGGACGAACCCACTGCTCAAGAAGTTGGAGACACGAGCGGGGGTCTCCTACGATCACTTCCCTTCGTCCATCGAGGTAGTTAGGGTTCTGTCTTAAGGCTCTATTCCGGGTCAAATATTTGACCGAAAGAAAGTAGTTTTCCTTCAGGGAAAGCACTCTGAAATCACTAGCACAGGAGCGATTCAGAACAAATTTGCCAAAGCAACGTGTGCGTGCGCGTGTGTATGTGTACAGTGGAGGACGGGGGATGAATACTTCTCTCCAGGACTCAGTATTAAGCCGAAAGTTTAAGAAGTCACCCCTCACCCCATGAAGACACCTACGTGGTCAACTTCCCAGGAACAGGGAGAGCAGAAGGGCAGTGCCGAGAGGGGTGCGGGCCACTATCTAACGGGGACGGAGTTTCTGCCTTGGAGGTGTGAAGTTGTGGGACTGTTGCGCAATGGTGTGTGACACTTAGCACCGCTGAGCTGCGCACGTAAAATGGTGAAGAGGGCAAATGTTTTAATATGATTTTGAGAAATTGTAAAGGGCGTAAGTGAATGAGGTGAACAGAGTATTGAATGTGTAGTTCTAACTTCACAGATCAATTTAAATTAAATCGTACTTGCTACAGGAGGCAAAATTCAGAAAGGAACGGACTTCTCTTTTTCACTGATTGTAACCAGCACTGCGGACGAAGGCTAGAGAATAGTTTAATATCAGTTCAATCCACAGCGGCATCCACATATAAAACAGGCACCCACACACGTGTGTGCGCACACACACTCCACTAGTGGTCATTGTGTGCTTTCTTGCAAAGAAGAAATCATGCCTCTGCTTATTAATTTTCTAGCCATTACAAAAGGTCACTAGGGAGGAAGGAACTTCTGGGCCTATATGGAAAGCAGGTCCTGAAGAAGGTTTCATCCTTGTTCACAGCAGAATTGTTTCCAACAGCCAAAGCTAAGAAGCAACTTCAGAGTCCGCTGCTGGATGGACGGACACACAGAGCCTGGCATATGCAGACTTACGTATTTATGAGCTCGCCGTCTTTCCACACGTGGGGCAGCACCAGCCTGGGCAGGAGGGCGCTGGGCCCACAGTGCAGCTGCACAGGTGAGAGAAGGGCACCATACGACCCCAAAGGGGCCCTGGGTGCTCAGACTCACAGGAGCAGACGGCAGGAAGGGGCTTGGGGGTGGAGCCGGGCAAGACAGGGCTGCCATGTCCTGGGCACAGACCTCATCTTGCAAGGTGGGCAGCGTCCTGACTCTGCACTGTGAACCTGAAGTTCTATGTGTATTTTACCACAATGAGGAATGACAGCTCACTCCAGAAAGAATGGCCATCATCAAGAAATCAAGTAATAACAAATGCTGGAGAGGCTTTGGGGAGAAAGGAGCCTTCTACCTTGTTGGTAGGAATGCAAACCAGTACAAGCACTAAGGAAATCAGCATGGAGGTTCCTCAAAAGTAGAAACTAGAAATCCCATGTGACTCAACTATTCCCCGATTAGGTTTCTTCCAGAAAGAGCCAATGACATCTTATTGCACTGATCCACCTACACTCATGTTTATAGCAGCACAATTTATAATAGGTAAGTCTTTTTTTTTCCCCAGTACCGGTGATTGAACTCAGGACCTTGTGCTTGAGAGGCAGGTACAGTGCCACTGAGCCAAATCCCTGGCAATAGGTAAATCTTGGAAGCAGCCTATATGTCCATCAGCAGATGAAAGAAAATGTGGTATTTTCACACAATGGAGTGCTACTCTGCCATAAGGAAGGACAAATTTGAGTCATTTGTAGGAAAATGGACGCACTTTGAGACCCTAGAATTAAGTGCAACAAATCAAGCACACAAACTTAAATATCACATGGTTTCTTTTATATGAGAAACCCAACGCATAAAAATTAGAGAGCAAAATAAAAGCTAGATTATAGGAAACAGAAGCAGATCTTTTGCAAAAGGGAGAGGGACCAGGAGATGGGGGAGGGCGGACGGGAGGGGATGAGAATCAGATGAGGCCCTGTTACGCGCCTGCACCAGCTCTCCATGATGAGTGCGATCAATGTGTACTGCGAACATGGACAACTGAAAATAAAAACTTGAAAACAATTTAAAAAGGATACAACTTAATAATACTGTGACCAAATTCACTAGCAAAGGAAGGAGAGCCACTGTGGTGAGGTACATTGGGCTTACGGGTCTGGTGGACACCCCACCCACCCCACGGAAGGGCACAGCAGGCAGGAGTCCTGCGGTGCCCACGCACCTTCTGGCACATGGGTCCTCTTGCCGGAGGAGCTGGTCTCACCCTGGTTCACAGCCTCTGCACGCTGGGGAGCAACTGTCCTGAAGAAATCCCAACATCAAGGACACTTTGTCTTAAGCCTGTGACTCAGCCACACACATCTCTGCAGGAGGCCACTTCCCCAGGTGGTTTATTGGTAGAAATCACTGAATCTGGAGAGAAATGGCTGCTGTGGTGACTGTGCTCAGCCCCTGCCCTTCAAGCCTCACCAGTATGGGGAGGAGAGGTGGGCCCTGGCTCCTCCAACCCCCGTAAGCGTCACCATGGTGACAGATGACCAAGCGACAAGAAAGCACTCAGTAACTCTTACCACTCCCAGGGCTGCAGGTTCATGGGCTACTTTGCATGCGAAAGTCCCCCCAGAGGGCAGGGGGCATTTCAGCTGTCTGCAGAGTGCGGTGGTGCAAGTGCACCTTGGTTGATATTTGAGAAGACCCGTGTTTTCCTGGTCACCTCACCTGTAGGTCGAGTTGAAGAAAGGAAGGAATGAGTGAGTGAATCCAACTTAAAGAGCAAGCAATGGCAGGTCCACTGATCCAGGGACGGGTGGGGGGTTGTCTGGTGGGAAGAAAGCACAAGCTCGGGGCACTGCATCCCCGTGTGGCTGAAGGTCAGCTGTTCCCAGGGCCAAGGTCGCTGCTCTGGCATCTTTGAGGCGGTGCTTAACCCGCGCAGAAGCCTCTGGGCTTCAGGAGCACTGGCCCTGGCCCTGGCCCCGTCCTTCCGGCCTTTTTGTCTCCCGAGTGTTTGGAAGCCCCGCGGTGATGTGGTCTTCCCTTCCTTTTGCTGAGAGAGCGCAACCCTCACCATCCTGGGAGGAAAGTCCTACGGCCACGGCCATTGTCCTGCTCACCCCTCGCTACAGATGAGGAGAGGAGCTTGGTAAGTCATTAGCTCCGATCCCAGCTCGAAAAGGAGGACGCCCGGCTTGGGCTGGGCGCTTCAGCCTGACGTCTCCCAGCGTGCTGGATTGGGTAGGGACGGAGCTCCCGTCGTCCGGTGTCACTCACCCAGCAGGGGCCCAGGACAGAGAGGTCCCGAGCCAGGTCCGGAGAAGCTCAGAGCAGGGCAGGCAGGAGGTGGATGCCTAGGTTGCTCACACCACCGGGAGCGGGCAGGTGGTGGTGGGAGGGGACTGCTGCTCACCTTTCCCGTGGGCTCAGGTTTCTCTTATTGCTCAGCAGGAGCAGCAGGGGCTCTCTGCCCGCTTAAGGAAAATCATAACCAGTCTAGTTTTGCAGGTCTTCATTGGCTTTAATTGCAGTTCTAAAATCAGGCAGCAGTCGAGGCCCAACGTGTTCAGACTTCTGCACCCTACCCCTGGGCATGGAACGGGAGTGGCCACAGGAAAGGAAGTGAGCTGCAGATGGCAGATCGGCCACAGCTCCCTATGTCACATTTGGATGTGGTTTGAACAGTTGGTGGCTTGCGATTGGCGAGACCCAGGTACTGGCTGCCAGGTAGGTTATAGTCTGTTTACATACACAACAAGTTAGGTTACAGTTCTCTGTGTGCTGAGAAACCTTTAGGCCCCCTTCAAAGCAGTGTGGAGGTGGCGGTAGGCCGAACTCAGCCCTGCCGCATCACCCTGGGGTGTGCGGAGCCTGCCCGAGGTACCACTCAGGCGGGGCCCTTGCCGGGATGCCAGGCTCCATCACACCTCGGTTCTGGGCCCGGGCCTGCTCCTTAAACTTCGCTCGGGTGCTGGGTCCACGCCCAGGAGCATGTGGTCCCGCGTCCTCCTGACCGCGTCAGGGGTGTCCCCGGCAGTGACGGCTGCATGTTCCTGCTCACTGCTTCTTCCGCCCACACCCTCTCGGCTCTGTCGTCCACTCCGCTTAGTCTCTAAAATGCATGCTTTCGTATGTGAAAGTGTGCAGTCCAAACCTACCCCTGCTCCCCTTATTCCCGGAATTAAACTGTGCCTGCATCCTCGCTTCTCCATTCCCTCTGTCCCCGGAGGCCTGGAAGCCCACTCCTGATCAGAGCCATCTGAACAGGACACTCCCTCCGACCGTGGCTTTGATCCTCACAAGTGCCCGCAGCCGCACACAGGGCGCGGCTCCCATCTCCCCAGCCTCTGTCCCTGGTTCTCTTCTCCAGAGCGCCAGACTCTGGTGGGTTGTGACCAGAGCAGTCACTTGGCTCAAATTTATCTTCATCTCTCTCTCTCTCTTTCCAGTGAAGTTCTTATCCATTGTCTAATCTCTCCTGCCTCCAAATGCACCGTCTTTTATAACCTCCTTCAGGCACAGTTTCCGAACATCAAACAGCTGGGGTGTAACTCGGCCAGAGTAAACTGGGGCTCAGGGGTGGGGACGAGATGCCCAGTGTCTCCTGGGTCACAGGAATCCAAATGCTGTGCCTCAGATCCCTGGACGGCACAGACGCTCTCACCTCAGAAGCCACTCCTCTTCCTCTCCGCTCCGCATTGACCTTGGCTCCCTGGAGCCTCCTGGCTGCGGACCAGCGCCTTCCAGGAGGGTGGGAGCAGAGGGCCAGAGAGGCGAGCCGGCTGTGTAGCTGGTGTGGGGCCTGGTCTCGCCCCGGCGGGCCTTCTGTCCCCAGCCCTGTGCTGGTGGCCAAAGTTCTCCCCTGCATGTCCGCCACAGTCGGACTATGGTGCAGGGTTGGCTCTGGGGGGCCAGAAGGCAAGAAGAGGGAAGCAGGGCTACGGGCAAGGAGGGGACAGGAAGGGGGGTGTGAATTCTGAACAGGTGGGACACAGAGAACTTGTCATGTGTTGCCTTGGGGAGGGGTCTCAGCGGGGAGAGCAGGAGCTGCCAGCCCAAGCTTGCTTCCTGAGGGTCGCTGCCCGCAAGAGTGATGGGGGGAAAGCATAAGTCCCTGCCTGCGGGGCGTCGGGTCCACTGAGGCTGAGACTAGCAAGGAAGTACAGAGAGCGCTCCCGAGAGACAGGAGGGGACCCCAAAGTGGTTGCCAAAGAGCCCAGTTCTCAAAGGAAGTTCCATAGCGCAACAACACAAGATGACTATAACGTGGGTCGAAACTACCATCCCTCGGTGAGACCACAAGTGCAGCGGCTTAGGGAACAGGGGTCCCAAGAGGAAGCAGGTCCCGAGCAAGGGTCCACGGAGGGAACGAGGGCCTTTGAGGAAGGGATGGGTCGGAGGCTGTGACCCAGCCCGGAGACTGATGTCTCCCTAGACTTGATTGGGCCAGGTGATACCTGTTACGGACAAGCTCGGACAGGCCTGCTCGGGCCATTCTGTCCCTCCCTATCTTGTGGCCGGGCCTTCCGCAGCTGCGCCTCCAGCCACAGTTACAATGCGTTCCCGACCTCTGCACTGACCCTCCAGGGCCTCCTCCCGTCTGACTGCCTATAGTATTTCTACCCAACGTAGCTGTCCATAATATTAGGGTGAGCACTGCAGTAGGGGTAGGGTCAGTTCGAATTACCACGTGCTGGGGACAGGTAGGGGACAGCCACTCCACACTCCAGTGTGGGCCCCGGGAGGCAGCAGAGGGCTGTGGGCTGAGCAGTGGGATAAGGCTGGTGTGAATGGAGGGAGGGCTCTGGGCTGGGGCAGGTTGGTCAGGGTTAGGAAAGCAGAGCCCTTTAAGGCTCCAGGCAAAGAGTGGTAGACTTGGTTCCTTCCTGCTTGGCCCTTTTGTGCTTGACTGTTCTCTTCTGCCCAGGGCACCACACAGATCCTGAGGCTGCCTTGTCCCCAGGGCTGGAGGACAATTTTGGTTTAACTTGGTGAGAAGAGTGTTCTTTGCAACTCGCATTCCTCCGGCGTACAGGCACCGGCAGACCCCAGAAAGCCCATCCCCTGCCTGGGCAGCCGTTCCACCACCATGGAAGCTCAAGGGCGGGGAGGCGTCTAGGAGGCTGTGTGAGGAGGTAGTGTGTGTGCAGTGTAAGCGTGCATTTGTAAAGGGTGAGAAATTCCAGTAGCATTTTAACATTCATGTCCTGCAGTGAATGTTTTCTTTTCCGTTCTGGGCCCTTTCACGATGGGTCTCATCTTCCCTGGGGCTGGGTGGAGCCCAGGTCCCGCACACTCTGCTCTCCTTGGGGCTCAGGGGCCTCTGGCCTCCCTCCCTTCCTCTCCTGTGGGCCGGAAACTCTCGCTGCCCAACACCAAGGGCAGCAGGAGGTAGAGGTCGGGCCGGGCGACTCTGGTCACCTCCTTCCCACGACCGTGAGATTGCGTCCCTGGGTGCTGGGGCCCGAGGACGAGGAGTCAGCAGGCTGAGTGGCAGGGCAGGGAGATTCGGTGCACCACTGGCTCAGCTCTTAAGAAGCAATTCCAAAGGATGCCCTTTGGGTTGCCTGTGCCTGTCTGCAGACAGGCATACGGTTTCCTTACTATGTCCTGGCCACAGCCAAAATTCCGTCACTCAAGGAAACACTGTAATGCACTCTGTGGGAAATGACAAAATATAAAAAGGTCTAGAAAGAATAAAAGACAGTGGTGCACAGCCCTGCTACCCCGCTAGGGCTGGCAGTGGTGGTTCGAAGCCTCTCTTGGCACCTTTGCCTGTGCCTGCGCCAGCGGGCAGGCCCAGCTCTGTTTCTGCAAAGCGGAAGTCATCCCGTGCTACTGCGTTGCAGTCAAACCTTTTCCTTGAGTGTGCACGGCGAACCCACAGCGTGGAATATGCCTCGCGCATAGTTTGCAACGTTTGCTCCCTATTCCACTGTGAACACACAGGTTTTTGGGATGCCCTTTAATGCTGGACATTTTATTTTCTTATTTGATATTTCTGTTATTATTATCATTCATTATTGCATATCGAGAACATCTGGGGTGGAAAATAATTAGCCCAGCCTAGCAATCTGCAAGAAGCTTACTCAGACTTCTGCGGGATGGGTAACGGGCGCCCCATGGGATAGGTGTTGTCTTTTCATCTCACACAGAATGCCCAACAATTTTGGGGTTGTTGGGTCCCTAGCGGTTGTTAGGAGCCGGCTCCCCTGGGCCAAGGAGGTCAGCTTCCTCCCTGTCTCCATGGCAACGACGGTGACCCGCGTGTGACCCATAAGCTTAAGGTATTAATTCATGTCCCCCTCTCAGATGAGTATCTGGTGTGAAATTAGTAGAGGAGAGATGTGCTCCTGAGCCAGGGAGCCTTCCCCGCAGAGGGCGGGAGGTGGGCAGAAGGGATAATGTGGCAGCCCGCTGGCCTCTGGCAGCTGCGTCAGTATCTCTTTCATGTCACTGGAGCCGAAGGGGGGCTGCATCAAAGCTGCTCCAGAGAGCAGCCGTGGAACAGGCACTGCAAGCTGAACAAAGTCGGGCAGGATTAGCCTGAGGGTCAGCGCCCGGGCCACATCCTCCCTGCCCTCTCAGCCCCCAGGGCTGCCGCTGAGAGGTGAGCGGGTCCGCGGCCTGAGCGTGACGGATCTGGAGACTGGGCTCCCTGGCTCCACCTCTGTCCACTTGTCCGTGTCCCTCCTCCCAGACTCGGGGCCCCTCTCCCGCCCCCGCTCGGACACAGGTGTGGACAAACTGGCAGGCCAGGGGCCCCAGGGGGCCGGGTGACCGTTTCCCCGTCCTCCCCCGGGAGAGCCTGGATGTCAACCCCACACCGGGCTCCTCCCGATCTTGCACTTCCTCTGAGTCTTCTGAGCTTTTCTTTTAACTGTGAAAAGTTTCGTAGCTGGGGAAAACTCTGCTAAGATGAAAGCACTCAGCATGTTTTAAAGATTGGAACAGGAGGAAGAAGCAGGAGTGTGCACTAACTGGAGGTGGAGGCAGTAGTGGTTGCCAACTAGATTTTTATATATTTTATATATATCTGTCACTCATCAAACATGTTATTCATACCCGCCGGTTGCCACTCCCTGTACCTGCACAAGTCCGAGGACGGCGACTTTGTTTCTCCTTTCCTGGTGATTGCGGCTGTAGCTCCGGTTGCCTCCTCCGCCATCCGAAGGTCCATCCTGGGCAGGCGTCCGATGTCTCGACCGAGGTCTCGTCCCAGATCCCGTCTGGCAGGTTGCCGTCGAGCTGGATCGGTCACCGAGTGGGACGAGCTGGTCTTCTGCGCTCTCTCTCCTATACGATTCTAGCTTGGGGTGTGTGGCACTGGTTCGGGCTCATCACTTCACACATATTGGGGGCTTACATACGTCATAGGGCGCCGTAGGGTGTCACTCATGGAGTCTGATCAGATATCACACTTCACGCTTGGGGTTACACACAGGTTTCACACATTAAGTCACTCTGGTAGGGGGGTCTCACTCTCTGAGACTCTTGGGAACACATTTACTATCTTGGTCTGTGTTCTCCACAGTGTCAGGCTGATCACCCTAACCTGGAAATTCCAGATCGAAATGTTCCACTGCTGACTCTTTCGGTGCCACAAGTGCAGAGCTCCACCCTGTGGAAGTTTGCTTCTGGTCTCCTGTGTGTCCTCCGAAGCAGGTTAGCGGGGCAGGTGTGTTTACGACTCCCAGCCTGTGTCTGGGGACAGCACTGGCTGCAGACCAGGGCACCTAGGGGTTCCGCTCCTTGTCCGGGCCCTCACTTGCTCCGAGGGTGCAGCAGCGGATGCCTGGTGCCGTGTGAGGCCCATGCCCCGGAACTCACATGGGACTCACTTCAACCCGTGGGTGCTGGGTGGGAGGGTGTGGTGTGCCTGGCCCTCCGGGTCTCCGGGACACTGGACTGCATCACACACCACTGGGCTCTGGCCACTTTGCCAAGCAGTTAACCTAGTCCAGGCGGTTCCATGCTGCCCCAGGTAAGATGTGTGCCAGGGGCCTTGGGGGGGCAGCCAGAGGGGGGTGGCTTTGCGCAGCCTGGCGTGCTATGGGCACTGGCTCTGGAAGCTGCAGCATCTCCCTCTTGTCCAGCTGCAAGTCGCTGGGTGAATCGATGGAGCTGCTATGCAGACTGTGTGGACGTTCTCCTCGTCCTGACCCTGCCCACTGTGGCTCCTGCTCAGATTCCTCCTCTTCCTGCCTCTTCCTCCTCCTCCATGGACTTCCTCCTGTCAATCCCATGATTTTAACAATTTCCTTCGGGCAAGCTGGGCCTGTAGGCACCCTGGGGAGGGTCCGCTTTTTAATGCATATTTTTACCCAGTGCTGGGCACAGAGAATGTCTGTTAACCACGTAGAGATGGCGGACAGAGGGTGCAGAAGTGAGGGTCCCACACCGGAAGCTCTGTCTCCCTTGGGTCGCAGGTCAGAGTGTTGGGGGCAGCCTGCCCCTGCCAGTAGGGGCTCGGGGGATCCACCGACTCTGCCTGCACATGTGGGGTGCATGCTGCTGGATGCCTGCCTTTCCTCTGTTGCAGGAGGAGATGCCAGAAGGCCCCCCTCGGGCCATCACATCAGAGGCCCTCTGGTCTGTGTCCCTGTCCAGGGTCTCAGGTTGGCAGTGCGAGTCCTGCTCTACCCACCGCGTGTCTGCAGGACGCACCTGGCTGTGCTCTGGGTGGCACCAGGAGACAATGGGACTGTGAAAGAGGAGGAAGAGACTTCAAAAATCCAAGGCGAGCGACAGGACACGTCCTAGTGAGTCAGCGACAAGGATTTGCTTTCAGATTGGCTGTCAGAGTCCTTGAAAAGCCACGTCCTCTGCCCTGGGCGTGCTGCCCTGCCAAAGGGAGGCAAACATGGCCATGGGGCAGGAGGAACGTCCCAGGCCTGCGGCTGGCTGCGGCTGGCTGCAGTAGAGGGCGACAAAGACAGACCCTGAGACCCCAGGACCCTGGCCATCTCCCAGGGCGTGGCAGGGCGGTCAAGGTGTGCCACCCTCAGGGGAGGCAGGGAGTGGAGGTGTGGGAGCCGGTGCTGCCCCGCGGCCCATTTTTCCCTGGGCTGAGCGTCTGGGGGAGGATTCCGAGTGCACTCAGGCAGGGGACAGCGCACGGACCCTCGAGGTGCCGGCTGTGTGAGGAGCTGGGGGCAGGCAGAGCTCATCCCCTGGGACAAGTCCGGGGTCACCTTTCCCTCCCCATCTGTGCTCTTCAAACAAACGCTGCTTCTGCGACATCCGCCTCGCCCTGCCGGCTCATGGGCAGGTGCTGGTGTGTGTGTGTGTGTGTGCACGTGTGTGCAGGTGCACGCATGTGTGAATTGGCACCGTGCTCCACCACGGGGGTCAGGTGTCTCCCAGGGACCAGAACTGCAGTGAAGTTGATCCAGTGCTAGAGCAGCACTTGTGGGAGTCACGCACTGCTGTCTACTGACCGTGAAGGGAGCGAGTGTTCCTGAAGAAACAGGAACCAGCCTGACTGGGAGACCCAAACCTCTAACCCCAAACTGTGCACCCATTCACAACCCAGACCTACGAGTTTTTTAAACAGATCCAGCGGGGAGAAATAAGGGCCGAGGAGAGCTTCAAACGCACTGACCTCCACGTGGTCCTGGCCACCCAAGGGTGACCACATGCCGCTCCACGCCAGAGCCCAGGCCCAGGCTTCTGCACTGCCGCAGGGCTGCCGCCCGCTTCTCCCTGTGCTGCGCAGCTGTGCTCAGGTCCTGGAGGGCACAGCAGGGATGTTTGTGTGTGGTCTGGGTGCCGGTGGCGTGGGGCGTGGGAGTTAATTCAGAAGCACAGAGACAAACTTTCTGGGGAGCACCGAGGTCGTCAGGTGCCAGTGGTTGTGCCCCGACACGAATACCGATGACTGCTCATGCATCGAAAGCTATTGGATGGGCGCCCACGAGGTGCCGGCCTGGTGAGGAGCTGGGGACAGAAGTGAGCAAGGCAGCTGCTGGCCTCGTCCCCAGTAGAGGTGGAGACGGAGCAGGTGGTCCTCAGAGGCCCTGGAGGGAGAGCGAAGGGACCACACAGGGTCAGCAAGGCGTCCTTGGTGTTGTCCATGTGGCACCAGATGCTTAGCTACCTGACACTCTGAATTTGTGTCTGACTGAAAACCACAACCTAGCCGGGTGTGGTGGCACACGCCCGTGATCCCAGCACTCGGGAGGCTGAGGCAGGAGGATCACTGTGAGTTTGAGACCAGCCTGGGCTCCATAGTGAATTCCAGGTCAGCCTCAACTACATAGTGAGACCCTGTCTCAAAATAAACCAAAAAAAGAAGACACAACCTGAAGCTTAGCGTTCTGTTCACGCGGCCAGGTGCCCCCAGCTGTCCACGTGGACACCACATCGAGGGCAGGTCCTGGCTAGCCAGATGTCTGCCTCAAGTGGCAGCGCTCCCCAAGGGACACGGGCTTCTGTGTGCACCTGCAATGATCAGTCCCGAGGGGGTCCCTGCAGAGCCCCGCAGGCTCGTGTGCTTCTGTCCACAGAGAAAGGCCGGGACCCCTTTATGGGGCAGTGCAGTCCTTCTGCAGACTCCTGTCCCAGTCCCGGTCAGTTAAAGCTAGTCTTTCCTCCACAATAGAGACTTTGTCCTCAGCGGAAAAGGAAGTCAAATGTGACGAGCTGCAACTGGAAACTCTTGGGCACTTTTGATGTTTCTTTACGCGCAGCTGAGGTCAGGTGCTGTCTGTCTGCTGTCTTCTCACCTCGCCTGCTGACCAGGGCGGTCGCCTGTCGTGGTTCGCCAGAGACCAGGAGCCTTCTGGGATGTGGGGCTTTCTCTTCTCCCTTTCTTTCTTTTTTCTTTTTCTGCTGGATTGAACCCAGGATCTTTGCACTGAGCTACCTCCGCAGCCCTTTTAGAACGATTATTTTGAGGCAGGGTCTTGCTGAGTTGCTAATTTGCCCTGGCTGGGCTCGAACTTGCGACCATCTTGTCTCTGCTTCCCAGAGTGCTGATATTGTCAGTGTGTGCCACCACGCCTGGCCGGGGACGTGGGGCTTTTGGCTCCCAAATCAGAAAAGTTGGTTAGCCTTCCTAGGGAACTGTTGGATCACGAATCATTTCTGGTCCAGGGAAACACAGCTGTACGAAGGGTCTGCCTTCCCTCCTCACTGTCCAGGCTCTCATGGAACAGCGTGCAGGCCTCTCACGCACAGTCACTGCCCAGCCCACTCTTTACACCACTTCTTACACCACTGCGACACCCAGGCCTGTCCCTGTGGAGTGGCCTCAGACTTCAGGATTCATGCTGCACGTGAAGGAGGCAGACAGGAACTGGGGTTGGAGTCCTGGCTACCCAGCTCCCCGCCCTTGGCTGTGGTCTTGGAGGACAGAGGAGATGTGCTCCCAATAAGCAAACCACCTTTCACTGAGCCTGGCTGCAGCCCACGGAGAAGCCCCAGTGACACCAGGGGGCTGTCCCGTTCCTCGCAGGTCCAGAGGATGGGCCAGGCTGGGGGCTGCTGCTTGTGTGCCCAGGAAGCAGCCTCACCGTCCACTTCTCGTCTGCAGACCTGACAGAAGGGCCACAGTTGTGCAAGGTGCGTGAACTGTCACTTCTGCCCTCGCACCCCGAAGCTTCCGATAGGTGTTCTGTAAGCGTGGCACCCTCCCAACACTGGGCTGAGAGTGCCAAATGCACTATGGTGCTTGACTGGGGGACAGGAGCGCGGATGTCCCTCATACCCGAAGGGACAGTTCTGTGACACGGAAACTCAGAACCGTCGGTACACAGGGTCCCGTGCGGAGCAGCAGGGTTTGTGCCCCTCCGTGTCCACCTCTGCTTCTCCCCTTCTGTGGTCCTGGAGCCAAATGTGAGGGCCTGTGCGTGCCAGCCATCACTGTCCAGTGGTGCCCAGCTGCCTGTGCAGGGTCCCTTCCAGGGGACACCCAGCACTGTGTCCACGGGCAGACTGCCGCCAACTGCGCTATGTCAGGCCAGGCAGCGTCCGCTTCCCAGCCTGCGGGAGAGGTGAGGATGCGGGTGCTGGGAAAAGGGGCGGCTGGGGTCCCCGAGCCCACACTGCACAGACACAAAAGAGGGACACGCCCAGCGTCCTTTAGTTCTGCTGGGGGAGAAGTCAGTGTGACCGCTCAGTGGCCGGTTCAGGGCACACTCAAACAGGCTCACACCCACCACACCCACAGCACCTCACAGTCAACCTACACTTGTACCACTCACACCCACATCACACTCACACCCATAGCACACCTACACCCACAGCAACGCACACACAGCAATTCACACTCACGCCGACATGCATACTACTCACACACCCACAGCACCTCACACTCACAGCTACACTCATGCTACTCACACCCACTCACACCCATAGCACAGCACACCCACAGCACACCTACACCCACAGCACATGCACACACAGCAATTCACACTCATGCCGACATGCATACTACTCACACCCACAGAATCTCACACTCACACCTACACCCACAGCAATACACACACAGCACATTCACACTCACGCCCACACTCATACTACTCACGCCCACATCACACCTACACATCCACAGCACACACACCCACAGCACACGCACACCCACAGCACCTCACACTCATACCCACATCACACCACACTCACATTCACACTACACCCACGTCCACAGCACACACATGCACACCCAGACTACTCACACCCACTCACACCCACACCACACTCCCAGCAATTCACACCCACACCACACACTCACAACAGCACTCTCACACCACACCACACTCACACTGTGCTCACACCCATACACACCCACATCCGCAGTACATTCATCCATAGGCACTGCCTGTGGCTGCAGTGTTGGTGTCCACACAGTGCCTGCGCAGCAGTGGGCAGCTGCTGCCGGGAATTGCGGGGGACACTCAGGCAGGAAGCACCGTCTGGAGAGTGGCTCGGGAGTGCTCAGGAATGTGGGTGGCTTTCAAGGCCACACTCAGGGCCACCCAGCCCGCCCTTGGTCCCTGGCTCAGGACCTGAGAGGCACATGGTGCTGGTGTGAGAAATCTCAGGACAGAGTCAGCTCACACACGTGACAGTGGGCTTCAAACTGGGGTGTGCCTGGGCGGTGAGCTCGTGGACACAGAGATCTCTCACTCTGGGCCCCAGGGGGCTCTGATCCATTGGCCTGAGCTCCAGACATTCTCATTTTTAGTAAGCAGCTTGGGTGCAAGCAAGTGTTCCACCCCTCTGGGCTGCTGATCCTGCCCAAAGAGGCTACAGTGGGATGGGTCTCCCAAACAGGTGCCCAGACACTGTACTGAGAATATGGAAAAACAACTCGGAAGCCCCAGCTGGAGAGCAGGTTGATGTTACGGTGCATAAACACAGTAGAATATTGCACAGCTAAGAAAAATGATGCACGCACACACGTAATACAGAGATAAGGGAAATGCAGATCCACGATGGGTACAGCGGCTGGGCGGCTCACGGGAAGCTCGTGGCAGGAACAGACTTTTACACTGTTTGGCGTCATCTCCTGACGTGTTTATAGAGTGACTCAGCAGTTGCTCAGGTTTAAAACGATCACACAGTTTGTACTTTGTATGTGTAACAGTGAGAACGGACATGAAATTCCCACCTGCAGGAAGCCCAGTGACTGGAAATGACAAAGGCGCCTAGAAGTGGAGCGGGAAGCTGCAGGAACCCGTGGCGGCAGATCTCAGTGCCCTGTGAGGGCCTCGCCGGGGCTTCACCCTCTTAGCACCGCTCCTGAGTCTTTCACACAAGAGCAACTAATGAAATGGCTGCTGCTCAGCGGCGCGCGGACGGACTGACTGTCAGCTGGAAACCCTTCGCAGTTCGCATTACTTCCTGTCAGGCGCCAGCAGTCAGCTCCGACTCCCCGGAAGGAAGGGTGGCGCCGCCGAGCCACGAGCCCTCATGAGCCGCCCTCGTGGAGGTGTTTGCCACGGAGAGGACACGCCGGGCCCGCGACGCACACCTGGCACACGCCGTCACCATGTGCAAAGGTCAGGACCAATGGGTGGACATGGCCGCTGCCCACTCACCGTCCTCCTCCCCAGCCCCGGGCTCAGGTTCTGCCCAGTCCTGGTGCCGATGGAGGAGCCCTGGGGGCCGGGGCACCGAGCACAGCCTCTCCTTCCCAGGCAGGGCGGCCCCCAGCAGGAGTGCCAGCAGACTCTGCTGGAGAGTCAGGGTGGGGCACCCCCAGTGGGCACCGCCTGAGATGGGTGGGGAAGGCGAGCCCGCTGGAGACGGCTGGGAGGCCAGGGACCTCATCAGCGCTGTGGTCATTTCCACACTGTTTAGCAAAGCTTCCCGCTCCCGAGCCTCCGAATACGGCACTGTGGGACCCCAGGACACAGCCACACTGAATTTCCAGGCACACTGGGGGGAAAGCTCAGAGCAAGGCAGTTCTCTGTATGGTCCCCAGCAGAGGTCAGGACAGCAGATCCCCGTCCAGACCCGTGGAGACCCAGAGCCGGGCAGTGGGAGGGTGTCTGTGTGCAGGGACCCACGGTGGCTTTGCCCCGGCCAATGGCTGGAGCAAGCTGCAGTGAGCCTCGGCTCGGGCCTCTGTGCTGGTGAGCACTGTGCCAACCTCTCTGGAGCCGGATGCCCTGTCTAGAAACAAGGGGCAGCTGTGCCTGAGCTGCGTGAGTGTGAGGTGCGGTAACTTCCCAGGCCCTCGCTCGTACTCTGGCCCCTGGATGACAGTATTTTTGCTAAGTCTTAGGTTTCCACCAAATCTCATATCCTGCCCAGAATGTTTCCCAGTGTCCTGGTTGTGTGACAAGACGGATCCACACGCTCCCCTCCGTGTGTCAGGAGAGCTTCGCGGTGTTGCCCCGAGGATTTGTCTGATGTCCACTCCCTCGCAGCGGTGGTGCCGTGAGTGTCTGCTGCTCCAGGCTCCGCTGTGCCACGTCTTTTCTCATTTCCTCCGCCCATGCAACAGCAGCGACCAGCCCGCACGGTGGCAGTTCTGCTATAAAATATTTACACGAATATTTTCTCATTTAATCAAGTAACCTCGTGAGTGTGTGTGTGTGTGTGTGTGCGCGTGCGCGTGTGCACACATGCATGCTTGTAATTATTACATCTACATCATTCTCCAACTTTGCAGATGGGAAACTGTAAACTGAGTCTCAGAGAATCGAGCAAAGGCTAGCAACCAGTGCCTTCGTTTCTGGCCGTATCTTTCCACTCTGAATCTAGAGTGTGCCATGGTCACGTGGGGTATAGAAATCAGGTTGAGACAGGGGACCCATTGCCTTCTTTACTTTCTTTCTGCTCAGTTTTCTGTGGGAATCCACAGAGGGCTTTGACATCTTGTGGACCCACTGCTCAGTGAGCAAAGTCACTGGGGACCGGGCTTGGCGGCAGTTTTGAGCCAGACTCAAAGGCAGCCTCAGGCACAGCTGACTCCTGCAGGCACAGGGCATTTCTGTCAGTAGTTTTCTTGTGGCTCTGTAGTAGACTAGGCTCTGTGCAGGGTGCTGGAGACCCACAGTCCCTCCTACGGGGTCCGGGCCAGACTTCGGTCCAATTCTCCATTCACAGGGGAAGAAGAAGGGGCACAGATGTGGGTCTTTGAATGCTGTTGTCTACTTGATTTGATTAAGAGATGGTGACAGCATTAGTGAAGCCCACCTCCGGATGTGCCCATGGGTCATGGCGGTGGGAGTTGGGGGTCTGTGTCTGGTCCCTGGCCCCTCCCTCTCTGGTGCTCTTTCTAACCCGCTCTGCTTCCTGGCCGCCATGGACTAAGCTGCTTTGCTCCCCGACATCCTTCCACCACGATGTTCCCGCCTTGGAGCAGCTGACCATGGACTGAATCCCCTGAAATTATGAGGCAGATTAACCTCTCCTTCTTGACACTGGGGCATTGGGGACTGTGTCCCAGTGATGGCTGACCTGTGCTAACCGAATGTCTCTTATCTGAAATGCTTGGACCAGAGTCTTTTGGATTTCAGACTTATTTGAGCTTTTGAATATTTGCATGTACATAATGAGATTATCTTGGGGGTTGGGCCCCTGTCTAACCACAAGATTCATTTACATTTCGTCTTAGACACAAGGCCTAAGGCTAACTTTATAGGCTATCCTAAATAATTTTGTACATGAAAAAATTGTGGCATTTTCTTCCTATGACATCATGTTATAGAAAAGCTTCAGATTTCAGGCTGTGACTTAGGGATGCTTAACTTGTAGCAGATTCACGTTCTTCCCACCTGCACATGGCCACTCAGTCCAGAAGAGAGGAGACGCCGACATGACTTGCCCCGCTCAGGAGGACAGATGCCCTTCCTCCCTGGGGGCTGTGCCAAAGCTCTGCCCTACACCTCATTGCTGCGATGGTTAGTGCTGGCCCCTGTGTGGATCTTCGTGGGAGGAGCGCAGGATGGTGTCCACCCTTCTGGCAGGAGCTGGCTGGGCTGCCTGGCTGCCCATTATGAGGCTGTGGGGGTTGCATCCCAGGACCTCCCTTTCATACTTGGAAATACGGGGTTCCTTCCTCCCACTGCTTTGCGGGGGATGAGGGAGGAGTGCAGATTCTTTTAAGTGGTGCCTCAGAAGTCCGGGAAACGAGCAAATATCAACCAAACCAAAGAAAACAAAAAAGCTAAACACAGGCCCACAGATGGGGCCCTGTCCTAAAACACCAGGCCCCGTTCTGCCTAAATCAAGACATCTGGTCACTCTGTTTCAGCAGGACAAAGAGCCTTTTTTTCCCAAGCCAGGATTTTATGTCTTTAATCTTTTCCAGAAGAAAAAGAGTTCTCATTATGTCTGCGTCTTATCGCATAACGGTGTGTCATAAAGATGCCGTTATCGCCTCTTCCTTCTGATTAACTGGCCCTGAGTGATTCCCGCTGGTGTCATTAGCCCGGAGGTGCACACAATGGCACCAGTGTCACCACCACCACGGGGATCAGACCCAGGGCCTTGTCGGGCAGCCCTCAGGGACCCTCGCGAGCTCTTCGGAATTCACAATGCTGAGGGCGTTCTCTGGCCAGGCCTCTCTGTGAGCTGACCTTGGTGTTGGCGGCTGGAGTCTCAGTCCCCCGCAGACTCCACTCCAGCATTTGGCCTCATCTGCTGGCTTGGTTTCCTGAGCTGAAACAGCAGAAGGGGTTGGAGATGTTGCACCTGGGGCCAAAAGCAAACAGGTGTCTCCCGCCGCCGGCAGCACCCTGTGGAGGGCAGTGAAGACGGCATCATCTGCAGATGCTGAACGCGGGAGTTAGAGAGAAGTGCGGGTGTTGGTGGCAGAAAAGAACAGATGGGGCGTGGATGAGGTGGGAGTGGGGTGAGCAAAGAGCCCTCACGGTCACTTTGGCTGAGTACCGTGGTGGTGGGATAGACACCTGGGAGCACAGATAGGCCGATGGCTTTCACACCTGGCTCCTTGTTAGACGCACCTGGCCCAGGTGCGCCCTGCCCTTGGGAGTCTGGTGTAACTGTGGCAGCCAGGTGGGGCCTGGGCGTGGCATCTGAACACAGCGTCACCTGCTGCTGGCTGACTCCATCTCCCTCGACACCCAGGGTCCTGCCTGTGGCTCCTCGAAGGAAAGCCAGAGTCATGGTCTTCCTGCCGCTTGGAGAGGAGCGAAGGGAACAGGTGGGAGGACGGTCTAAGAGACGGGAGAGAGCAGCTGGGGAGAGGCTGGAGCTGAGGTGCAGACACCTGCCTGGGCAGCAGCCCTGGGTGCACCCCGGGGAGCAGTGCCCACCGTGGAGGGGCCGAGAGCCCAGGGCTCGGTGTGCAAGGCTGCAGGTGCGTGTCGGCCCGGAGGGAGACGCTGTGGAGGCTTCAGCAGGGTCAGTGACATTCTATATATCACACACACACGCACACATCCACACGAGTGATCAGAATATATGGTGAACATTTAAATCAGACAAAACATTACAGTGAAAGACATTGCCATTAATCCCCTTCTCTTTCGGAACACACTGGTCCCATTGTCCTTGTCACTTTCCGCAGCAGCTCTGGAGTCCTCTTTTGTTAGTGTTTTTACAAGATGTGATAAAAAATACGGGAATGCCGCCGCCGAGCACCATCCCACAGAAAGGCAGCTCCTAGAAACATGACGGTGTCCTCATCCACCGTAGTCACTGCATCTGACACCATGTGACTCCCGGCTCTTCCCCAAAGTCAAAGTGACCACCAAAAGGCAAACGTTTTTGAATCCATTCAGGACATTGAGCAGCCATGACAGCCCAACTACAGACACCCAGGAAAGGGCTCCAGAGCTGCTGCAGGAAGTGGCCGGGACAGTGGGAGGAGTGCGTGCACAGCACGTGTGCAGGGAGAAGGCCCGGAAGCCTCAGGCCAGGTGGAACCCTTGTTATGTTCTTTTCTCCAGAACCTCGGCCATGACGCGCACTGTGGTCACGAGGTCCCCAGCCTGAGCCTGCTGGGTTTCTGGGCTGTGGGGCTATAGGACCCTGAGCTTCCCTGCGGGCACTACCCCTGCCCGGTGTGCGCCCTGCACCTCCCTGTCCGTGGTGGAGTAGGGGCAGAAGCAGCCTTGGCAGAGAGGAGCAGCAGCGGACAGCACAGCACAGCCCCACGGGAGGAGGCTGGGGGAGCAGGGCTAAGGTCCCCAGCAGCACCCTGCCCTTGAAACCTGTCCGCGCATCGCAGATGTCTGCAGGTCCCCGTCTCAGCTCAGCCGTAGTGCCCACAGCCCGACCAGTGGCCTAGACTCTCCATCCGGGGGCTTTGGGGTGTTCCGCTGTGCACCCCTCGTTGCAGAGAGGACGGCAAGGTGGTGCCAGGCAAATTGGCCTCTGCTCTCTCTGCTTCGTGGATGTGGCCGAAAGCAGAATCACTGGCTGCACTGCAGAATGTGCTCCGCTGTGCACAGACCAGGACTTGGGGGTCTTCCCGCTCCTTCCTTCTCTGATGTGCTCTTTGGATGCAGCCGTTCTCCTTACAGCTGGATGTAAGCAAAGCTATGTTTTGGAGAGAAACTTGGAAGGTGTCATTCAGAGAGGTGCGTGTGCGTGCGTGTGTGGGTTCACCACACTGAAAGCACAGGTAGACGGCTGGGCTCAGACCACCGGCCTGGGGAGGCCTCATCTCTTGCAGCAGGCTTGGGAGCTGGCAGGTTTCCTTGGAAAGAAGAGTGCAAACAGGAGCAGGCTGTGGGGCAGCCGTCGAGAAGTACCCGGCAGACCCTGTGCTGGAGACTGCGATGCTGCCGCCCTTCGGCATTTGCCATCCAGTACGAGCCTTCCCGCCCTGGGGACTCGGTGAGGCCCAGAAAGTGTGGGAAAGGCATTTGGGCAGCGGAGGGAGGTGGCACAGCCCTGGGATCCAAACCCTTGCCGGCCTCGGGCCTCTCCTTGCAGGGTGCTCCCTGGCGGTATGGATGTCCGGGGCCAGTGTCCACACTGACAGGGCCTGGTGGCCTGGGATGTGCCGGTCCCTGTGGCCACTGGCAGGGCATGGGTGTTACCATCTGCAGGGCCAACCCCACGGACACATGTGGCAGTGCTGGGTGCTGTATTTGCCCTCCTCCCCGTGCCTGGGCTCAGCCCACCACTCCTTCAGGACAAGCGACCCTGCGATGTCCTGCGCATCTCAGGCCCGATGACTCCACCCCGACAGCCTGTCCCTGATCTCAGGGTGACACAAGCTGGGCACCCCGCGGAGCCCACCGGTCAGTGTCAGAAACAGCACCCTCCGTGCAGACCTGTGGATTATGTGACAGTCGGTTGCTGCCAGGAAATAGTGAGCCCAGGCCGAAGGTGGACACAGAGCAGTGCATGGGGGCCTACTGAATACACAGCTGGTGTCCAGCCTCAGGCCCAGCTTCCAGCACAGCCTGGGGGCGGGGGGTGGGTGGAGGGTCCAGTCTGGCACCCATGAGCACATCTGCTGTGGCCTTCCAGGGCTCACCAAAGGGGGAGCACAGAGCCCCTGCAGCTTCCTGGGGAGTGAACTGGGTGTGGCTTCAGCCAGGCTGTGGGGACCATGAAAAGGTGGACGTGGTCACCCGACCCAGAGGAGGAGGAATCACTTTCCAC